TTCTTAGAAGAAACTCAACCAGAATGGCCCTTGGAAGTGATGATGACAAGACTTTGGCTCACTTACCTGGACCTGTCATCAGGAAAGACCAGGCACTAGGAAAGGACATCATGTTTGGTAGAGGGTCAGTGAAAACTAGAGAAACCTTCAGTGAGATGGACTGACAATAGACTCAAACATTCCAATGCTCATGAAGGTGATGTAGAACCACCATTTAACTCTGTGATACATATGATTGCCATGAATGGGAGCCAACTCGATGGCAACTAACAACAACAACAATAGAGAGGGAAAGTAGATGAGTGTTTGTCTAGGGCTCTTGGAGAACCGTGAGGCTGGAAAAATGAGAAGTGACTGCTAATAAGCACAAAATGTCTACTTTGGGATAGTAAAAATGTCCTAAAATTAGAATATGGTGATTGATGGTTGCTAACTCTGATTCACAGAGTTAGCAACCATCAATCACCATATGTGAATGGAGTCTTGGTGTGGCACTGTGGGTTAAAGCGCCAGACTGCAAAGCCATTTGAACTGCAAGGTTAGTGGTTCAAGCTCACCAGCTGCTCCTCGGAAACCCTATACAGGTTCACTATGGGTCAGATCCAATTCGATGGCACTTAACAACAACAACAACTCTGTGAATACACTAAAAATATGTGCACTTTAACAGATCAACTATCTGGTATGTGAATGGTAGCTAAATAAGGCTATAAAAATTAATAACCTTCATATTACAAACCGCTTGTTAAGTGCTGTAGAGTCACTTACAACTCGTAGCAACTCTGTATAGGGTTTCTGAGGAGTGGCTGGTGAGTTTGAACCACTGACCTTGCAGTTCAAACTGACCTTGCGAGCAGTGCATTATCCCACAGTACCATACCAGGACCCCTCAAACTGGTTAGTTCTAGTTAAAAGAGAAGATGAAGTGAAAAAAAAAGATATTTGGAATAAATTTACAAAGAATGTACATAAGGAAAACTCAACTTTTTGAAAGATGCAATAGTATGTTTTTATTGTACCTTTTT